ATGAGGCGGGATGTGTGGGGTGAAGTCTTGCTTGTTATCCACCGTTCAGCACGGGCCTCTCCTCACCGGAAGGGGTGTGCTTTCCTTTCAGGAATACATCGACGCCCACCCTGAGACCATTGTCCTGGACCCCCTTCCTGCCATCAGGACGCTGCTGGACCGCTCCAAGTCCTACGAGCTCATCCGGAAGATTGAGGCCTACATGAAAGGTATGGCCGCAGGCGGCTCTGCACTGTGGCGGGGTCCACCCTGTGGTCACTGCCTGGGCGGGAGGGCTCTGGTCTGTGTGAGCACTCGGGGCGGAAGCAGTTGAGTTCCAGGGGCCACACATTGTGGGGAGGCCCGTCCTCCCCCTCTGACCAGCAGAGTTGGGGAGTAAAAGCCCAGAGTGCTCCTTGGAGAGCGGCTCCAACCACTTCAACATGCTTGGCTCTGTTGTCTTAAAGCCACGGAGTGGCCATGAAGTGTCCCCATAACACAGCGGTTAGAGAGCAGGCGTGTGTGTGGAAGAGCTCAGGGCGGGCGGGCGAGTGCAGTTATGTAACTGGGTGAAGGAGACAAACAGAAATTAAAGGGTCTTTAATCAAACACACGGAGCTGTGTAATGTGGCGGCTAGACTTCTCGGGGCACGCCGTGTTCTCGAGGCAGGAGCCTCCCTCTTCGCCGCAGGAGCTTCAGCTGCCAGATGTGGCCTCCTGTCCCTGGGGACCCCCCACCCCCACCTCCCGGGCAGGGCAGCTCCGAGGAGTCGGACTCCTTTCCAAGGTGTTTGTTTATGCCTTTTGGAAAGAGTCTTGTTAACAGTCACCCCCTGGTTGTCTGCCTGGCCAGGCCTTCCCTGCGAGAGCTCTTCTGTCATTGGAAGGAGATGTGCTTTGCCTGCGCCTTGGGCGTTGTAGGGATGCATCGCGGGCTGGAGAGGAAGCCCCTGTTTTGCCATCCAGACCATGCATGTGGCCTGTGCACATGGCCTGGAACCCTGACCTGGGTGACCTGCCTCAGGCGTTTTGTGTGCTGGTGGGACAGGTGGGCAGTTTGGCCCACAGGACCCTGAGGGGAATGGAGAGCAGCCTTTATTGGGTGTGCCAGGTGCCTGGTCCTGGGTTAGCCTTCTCCTTATACTCTCTCCTCGTGCGCTCACGAAGGAGGTCTCCGCCCTAATTTTACAGACGATGCGAAGGCTCGGAGAGGTCAGGAGACATACTGGTGTCACAGCCCGTCAATGGCATCATAGCCAGGTCTCTACCCAGGCTCCCTAGCTCCTAAACCCTGAGCTTGACTGTCATGCCCATGGCCAGAGGCCCTGCATCTAGCAAGCACCTGGCATAGGTGCAGCCACGACCCTGGCTAGGGGAGTTGGTGAGTTCTTGAATCCTTAAGGAACTTGCCCTGTGAGAGAGCTGGGTGCTGGACCTGGTCGTCCTGTAGGGGGTCTCGAGGCCTGACTCCCTGGGTGCCTGGCTAGATCAGGTAGGTAGATCGTGGACCCGACTTCCAGGGAGTGGGGGCAAGTGGGCACACCAGCGCCCTTTCCTCCTTGGGTCTGGAGTGGTCAGTGACGATGTCAACTTTCCTCCTCTCGTGTTCCTTTCCTGGGTCCAACCAGAGTCCCGGGTGGGAAGGAAGATCTAGAGTGACGCTTTGGGTGAATGTTGGTTCTGGAAAGAAAATCCGTCCCTTCCCAGGTGTGTGTGTTGGACATGGACTGTGTTTGGAGGGACAGGAGATTGTATTAATAGGTGAGAAGTCCCGGTGAGTGGGAGGAGAGGCAGGTTGGCAGCCATGGCTCGTGTCCTCAACAAGCCCATCAGAAGAGTGCTGGTTCTGGTTCTGGTGGAATTAGGGAGGCGCCTCAAAGGAGGCTTTCTCAAAGCAAAAGAGGCATTCCCCGCTTTTGGAGGGGACAGATAGATTGTATCCGAATCTGGGCTTTTTCAAAAAAAAAATATATATATATATATATTTTAAATTGATTTCAGAGAGGAAGGAGAGTGGGGGAGAGATAGAAACATCAGTGATGAGAGAGAATCATTGATCGACTGTCTCCTGCATGCCCCACACTGGGGATGGAGCCCGAAACCCAAGCATGTGCCCTGACAGAATCAAACTGTGACCTCCTGGCTCATAGGTCGACGCTCAACCACTGAGCCACACCGGCCCGAATCTGCACTTTGCTGCTGTGCGGTCTGGGCCAGGTCCCTGCTGGCTTTCTGTAAGATGTAGGTAACAAGTGGTTTATCCATGGGCTCCCGGGTTGGGGTAACTGGGATGATGTCTGACAGCAGGTAGCATGGGTGCCAGCCCATTGGGGCCACGGGAATGGCAGCTGCTGTTGCTGCTCCCTTATGATGGAAGGGGGTAAAGCATCTGGATTGGATCTTGAAGACATCGGGGCTGAGGGTCAAAGGTGAGCCTTGGCTTGGAGTATGAGCATGTACAGACGGGAGCAGGGGACTAGTGGGGGTTGGGGCTGGACCGCAGGGTGCACATGATGCAGGGCCGCCCTGGTGGGCAGGTGCAGAGGGAATGACAGCCTGGGCCTCCCAGGCAGGGCAGGGATGTGAAGTGAGCAAAGTGGGGAGAGAGCTGAAATGTGGGGTGCTGGTGAGGGACTTGCAGACCATCGGGTCAGAGTGGAGGCTAGGAGTACCTCATGCAGTGGGTGGTGGGGGAACTTCATTTGTGCACAGTCATTGAAGGCATGTGAGCTGGTGAGTGAGAAGACATTCTTTTCTTTTAATTAAAAAAATTATTCTCACCTGAGGATATGTTTATATTGATTTTTTTTTTTTAAAGAGAAAGGTGGAGAGAGAGAGGGAAACGTCAATGTGAGAGAGAAACATTGATCAGCTTCCTCCTGTACACATCCCAACTGGGGATGGAACCCGCCACCTTTTGGTGTACAAGACAATGTTCCAACCAACTGTGCCACACCTGCCAAGGCCAGAATACATTTTAGACAGATCGGTGCAGACATGGCCTGGTGACAGGTTCTAATGGCCATTACCTGTGTCCTGTTGTGAGGGGGACATTCACCCAGGCACAGGCCCAGGGGGGCTGGTGACCGGCTCCCAGTGGGGAATCAGACCCCACTCTGCTAGGTCCAGGAAACCTCAAACCTGGGCGTCCTTAGCTCAGGAGCTGCCTGCTAGGGGCACCCCCCTCCAGGCCTAGCAAGAACTGGTGGAGGAACCCTAAATACGGCCTTGGTCTGAGGCCAGCAGGAACTGTGTGGGTGGGTGGGCCGTGACTGCTGCACCCTGCGTTTTCCTTATCGTGCATGCCAAGCCCGGCTGGTATTATTCCAGGAGGGCAGTGAGGCCGAGACTTCCTATAGAGCCTTTTCCTGCCCCGTCCCCCCCTCATCCCCCCATCCCTTCTGGAGCTGTTCATGGGGAGGCCAGCTCCTCTGCAGATGAGAACCTTCTCTGGGAAGCGCACCCTGGCCCTCTTGCTCCTCCCCCCACTGCTGAGATTCCAGGAGGGACACAGCCCTTAGGTGTGCTGTAAACAGCTATAATTACCCTTTTAAATCCCTCAGACAGTTCTAGCAATCCCTGTGACACTGCTTTTGTGTTGGAAGCAGGGGCTTCATGGAGACTTCAGCCCCCTGGGGAAGCTGCTCTCCTGTCCTCGGGAGCTTGAGCGGCTGCAGAGAAGGCTGGCAGGCGGGAGGCTCTGCAGTGGGGTGGGCTGTGGGCACAGGGGTCCACGCTCAGCAGCCCGCTCCCTCCGTGCAGAGCATCGGCTGTGGGGCAGGTGAGGCCCGCTGCCCGGAGCTCCAGCCGCACCTGTCAGGACCTGCACAGCCTCGGGTGGTCGGTGCCGTCTCCTTTTACGTTCCCTGAGCTCTTCTCATTCTGAATCTGGAGGGGAAGCAGGGTCGTTTTTCTAAGTCAGACCTGACAGTCTTAGACTACCCCCCCCCCGCCCCCCCTCTTTGGTCTCATGTGCGATCCCAGAGGAAGGTCACCCGGTGGTTCTGTGTGGGACAGCAGGGACTGAGGCTTCCAGCGCATGGTGGTATGGCCCTCCTGGCCCAAGGTGGTGCCTAATCTCAGCCATCACAGGATTTAGACGTGGGGTGGAGAGGAGGGGGGCTAGGAACAAGGAAGCAAAGGGAAGCAGCCTGGCTACCTTTAGGAAAGGTCTGGAAGTTATAACACGATGCTCGGTTCACACACCACTGGCCAGAACGCAAGTCACACCCCGAGCTGCTAGACAGTGGGGAAATGTGGTCTTTATTCTGGGCAGCGATGTGCCCAGCTAAAATGCTAACATGGATTCCTGCCTGGGGTTGAGTGACCTGGAATGACCATTTTCCCTGCTGCTGGCCGGGGGCGTGGCCCCAGCCTGGGACCTCAGCAGTAAGTCCTTCTCAAAGAGGTCAGTAGGTGCAGAGTGACGCACCCCAGAGCGCCTGGGCCATGGGTTTCCCTCGTAGCCCCTGCTTCTGTGCCCCTTAGCCAGAGGCACAGATGGCGCTGAATCTGGATCCAATTCAAACCAAGGGCGGGAGCCTCCCTGAGGTTAAACTGCCTGGGGCGGGCGGAGAAAAGGGCACGTTCCTCCCGTGCACACCTTCACGGGTCTTTTTTCTCAATGACACCCGCTCTGCCTTACAGGCCTGGGACTTTGAGATGGGCTCTGCCACCCCGTGCCCAGCGATTCTGGGCCAGGCTGTCGCCAGCTCCTGATCCTACTGGTGAGAAAGCACCTGGGCTGTGATTGGATGATACAAGCTTGTCGCCTTGGTCCTGGCGCAGCCGCTGGGGACCTGCCTCAGACCACAGGGCAAAGGGCTCCAGAGGCCCTTCAAGCTGATGGCAGCTGCAGGCGAAGGGTCGCTTTCCTGGTCTCCTTTTCCCGAGCCTCCCACACGTGTGCTCTGGGGTGACAGATGGCCGTTGGACACGGGCCTCTCTGGGGAGGGCTGTGCACACCGCAGCCTGAGCGACGCTGCCCGTGGTTTTATGGGAATTTAATCAGGGTGGGATTGAAATGGAGTGACCCAGACACCAAGTGAGAGAAAACAACATTCCTCACAGCCCAGGAGAAATAATTCCCACGGAGCATCTGCCACAGGGTGTGTGGAGTTGAGGGCCTTTCACTCGGAGGTGGGGGCTGTCTGTCCTGCCCACCCGTGGCGAGCTGCAAGGTGCTCTGGGTGGGGAGGGGGTTTGGAGTCAAGGCCTGAGCGCAGGTCCC